TTTTGTTAATCGTTTCTAGTATGTTATACGGTTGATGATAGTGTTTTGTTAATCGTATCTAGTATGTTATACGGTTGATGATAGTGTTTTGTTAATCGTATCTAGTATGTCATACAGTTGATGATAGTGTTTGGTTAATCGTATCTAGTATGTTATACAGTTGATGATAGTGTTTTGTTAATCATATCTAGTATGTTATATAGTTGATGATAGTGTTTTGTTAATCGTTTCTAGTATGTTATACGGTTGATGATAGTGTTTTGATGATAGTGTTTTGTTAATCGTATCTAGTATGTTATACAGTTGATGATAGTGTTTTGTTAATCGTATCTAGTATGTCATACAGTTGATGATAGTGTTTGGTTAATCGTATCTAGTATGTTATACAGTTGATGATAGTGTTTTGTTAATCATATCTAGTATGATATACAGTTGATGATAGTTTTGTTAATCTAGTATATTACAGTTAATGATAGTGTTACAATAATCTTATCAAATCTAGTCTATTAAAGTTTATGACAGCATCTTAATCTCACCTAAAATGAAAATTGACATTTATTATCTAGGTCTTCCCTATTCTCTTATTTACATCCCCCTGAGAAGTACAAAATTTAACATAAATTACTCTTTATAATATAAGTATTGCTACAGCAAAGTATTGTCTTTATAGCCTTCAATCTTATTTGTTTATGGAGCCACAAACTCAAAAATCAAACCACTTGCCACACCCACCTATCACATCACATCTTTCACTAATTACCAATACTTCTCTCATTATTTATAACCAAAGAAACACAAAGTACTGATCTATAAAATTACATATTACATTACATTGTTTTCTGCATGGAACATTGAATATTTCTTCTCTAGTTCAAAACTTTTTCTCATGATATTCATATTGACAAGCTTAGGTGAATTTTTTTAAAGGCTGCTATTACATATTTAGAAAGCCAGATAAATTATGATAGTTATGAGACATAACATATCATTCTGTGGTCTTTAGTACATTATGTAATTAAAACTATCTTGCATAGCAGTAATACCATTAGTATAAAAAAAAGTAAGCTTAAATTTCATTGGCAATCAACAGGAAAAAACCAGAAGACTAAGGTAAGAACCATATTTCTTATTTTCCATGTGTATTTATTATTATAAAAGTAACTAAACTAAAATGTAAATATTAGAAACTTATCAGGATAGATAATGTTAGATTATGTAAGATAATGAAAAATACTGACAATAAATTTCACTCTGTGTGTTGGCGAGCAGCTCTCTTGCATTATGTAATTCAATACAGTAACATAAGCTACATGTCTACTGAGTGATGTACAATTTGTATAGCAGAATTATTTGTTAGACATGGTTGAAAGTGCAATAAAATTAAGTATGAACAGATGTAAACTGTTACAAGTTTTAAGCTATTTAGAATAACAATTATAATTTTATGTTACAATTTGCAGTTATTCTAGAAAGGATAATTTAGATATGTTTCTTTTCTTTTTCTTTTTATGGTGGTTACAAGGTTGGTCAAATTACTCAAAATATGTTAAATTGACTGACCTCACAACCACAACAAAGAAAATACTAAATAAATCTAAATTATGCTTTTTGTTCTTTCTAGAATGACTGCAAATTGTAACAGGAAACTGCATTTATTTGTTCTAAATAGCTTAAAGCTCAGAAAAGTATACATGTTTCTACTTATATTTCATTGTTTTATTGCCCTTTCAACCATATCTAACAAATAATCCCACCACATAAGTTACAAATCACTTGGCCAATGTGTAGCTAATGTTGCCCTATCAAATTACCTAATGCACAGGCATACTTTGTGAAAAAAAAAAAAATATTTTATCTAAGCTAACCTAATAAGTTTCTAATTTTTATATTTTAGTTACTTTTATAATAATAAATACACATGAAAAAAAGAAATATAATACATACTTGGGTATTTTATTTTGCTGTCGATGAAACTTAACCCTAAATTTGTTTTTTAAAAAAGATAGTACTGCACTAAATTTTTTAATTAAATAATGCACCTAAGAACATACAATAATAATATGTTAAAAGAAGACAATGTCTTATAACTATCATAATTTTTCTGCCTTTCTTACTATGTGATAAGAGCTGTTAAAAATTCAGCTAAGCTCGCAGATGTCGTTCCCTTGGGAATAAAGTTTGAACTGGAAGTGAAATAGACGATTCTCTGTACAGAAAACAAAGTAATATAAAACTTCATTTGACTAATTAAATTTTTGGCTTTCTACTGGTTATAAATAATATTAAAATATCAGAGAGAACAAGATGCAATTTGTGAAAGGGATGATGTTACAGGTGGGCATGACAAGAGGGTTTTTATTTTCTTATTTACCAAATAAGATTGAAGGCTATAAAAATTATGCTTTACCCTGAGGAATAACTATTATAAGGAGTAATTTACATTGAATTCCATACTTTTTGTAGGTGCGATAAATTAGAGAAGGAGAAAGACCTAGAGTAAACGTCACAATTTTCATACTAGGGGAAATTGAAGATTTGTTTTTTAACACCCAACACATTAGCAAAATCCCGAACTGACTTTTGTGGCAGATGTTAATACTTCTGTATAAAATTAAAACTTAAAAGTTATATAGTATTAAAATTTGGTTTATTAGCTACATTTTAATGACAAGTTTATCGATATGTCATGATAATAAAGTAGTTTAATTAAATTTTGAATGTAACACGCTAAAATCCTGTTATATGCACAGAAAAGGGTACTTGTATGGTAAGAGTTAATTAAAAATCTGTTGTTTTTTAGCACAAAAGACATGCAACATTTACTGAAAGCTTGCCAAATATTGTGAAGGTACACAAAACATATTACAAGTTATAATATGGAAATTATGAATGTCATTTTGGGGTAACAAATTAGGTTGAATTGATCAAGCCTGTAGCGAGAGTTAAAAGTTGATAATAATGTTTCAATAATCTTATCTAGTATATCAAAGTTGATGATAATATTCCAATAATCTTAGCTAATATATGAAACTTAGTTATTAACTGAACAAACACTCTAATGGATAGAAACTACTTAATTCACCTTTGTTCATTGTGAATACTCAAAAATAAATTTTCACTGAACTTGCACAAAGATACTTGTCTTTTCATAGCCATGCTTTTTATTCATTTCAAAATATTAAAAGAACTATATCAATACCCAGTTTTATATCTTGAAATCTCACAGAAGGAGCTATAAGTTTTTAGAAAAAAAAAGTCAGTTAAATTATATCCTAGTCTAACAAGTTACTTTTATTAAACATACTACTTATATTTTTCAATGGTCTTAGAAAATTATTTTAAATTGATTGAAGCAAAAGATTAAAAATTCATTATTTTACCCGATTCTTTCAAAGATCCAACTGCTAGAGCAGCTTTCTTGATAATCTCTTTTGTGTTATCAACTATAAAAAATAAAGACAAAAAAAGAGCATTTTTATAAATCACATCCTAGGTCATTGTAAACAATGTTAATATACATAAGCAGTAACTGCACCATCTTAATAGTTTTTCATGCAAGTTTTATATGATATTATAGAAATTTGATAATATGACTATTTCTATTCTTTTGGAATGAAGCACAATATTATATTTTTTATACTTGTTACACCACACCCAAAACTTATAACTAAAAATATAACTGAGAATGATACACTTTACGAGTCAAACATACACCAAACTTTCTACGACTGTATACATCTACAAGTTGAACGTGCACACAACAGCTTCAAAATATTTATACGCATCTTTTACAAGTCAAACATACACCAAACTTTCTACGACTGTATACATCTACAAGTTGAACATGCACACAACAGCTTCAAAATATTTATACGCATCTTTTACAAGTCGTAGAAAGTTTGGTGTATGTTTAACTGTATACATCTACAAGTTGAACATGCACACAACAGCTTCAAAATATTTATACGCATCTTTTACAAGTCAAACATGCTCACAACCCTTTCTTAAAACAACATGGATTTTTTGGGGTTTTTTTACAAGCCGACAACTATATTTTCCTTACTTTCAGTTTTTTCTCCGTTGGCTATTGATTCAGCAATCTTTTTGTACTCATCTGTTTCAGAAGAGTTATCTTTGCTAAGATCATGCTGGGCAAAGGCAGCTTCTAAGCTTTTCAGTTTTCCAACTCCTTTCAAGCTTTCTGGTAACTGGATTTCATGCGAGGATATCTTTTCTTTCTCCTTGCTGTCTTCTTTGTCATTTTCTTTACTGTCTTTGAGATCCTTTTGTTCATCTTCTTTCATTTCTTCTGCTGCCTTCTCCTTTTCTTTCTCAATTTTGTCCTATGATTTGAATAACAAATATAATGAACTTAAAAAATATGTTTTAATTTGCTATTTCTACAAATATACATTGGATTAAATTAAATCAGTTTTTTTTTAAATAAATGGTTCAGTAACTAGAATATTAGAAACTTATTTTCTGACACAAATATAACTTAAATGTAAATGTAATATTTGCAATGCATTGAACATATTTGTAAAAGGCTACTACATAAAGACTAACATAAGCGTATGACTTATTTCTAAAAGTACAAATAGATTTCTTCAATATTACAATGCTGTTATCACCTAATTAAAGCTAATGGCAGTATGGTATTCTTATATTTTTACATGTAAATAAAAACATGCATGTAAGATGAAAACATTTAAAAATTTGCTTTACCAGTCCCTTGTCTTTGACTAAGTTTTTCAGTCCAAGTTGTTGAAGGTGGTAGGCAGCAAGCTTGATAAACATCACATATCTAGCTCTGTTAAAAACACAAATAATGAGGATGTTTTACTTATCAGTTTAAACTGAGCTTTCAATGTGATAAACAAATAGTGTATACTGTTTTCTGGACATCTTAGTACAAGACTTAGCATCTTTAATGCAGGTGTGTTCAATAAAACTATAATTAATGACAGTTGGGAAAACATTAAATAATTTTGTTTTGACTCTTCAGTGATCTTGCCAATTTATTTTTAAATTTTTGCAATACAGTCTATTTATTTAATTGTTATAATACAAATTACGTAAGGAAACAATAGCATAAAATCTAAATGATTTATTGCACTTACTCAACAAAGGCATCAACAAGTTCCTGACGTAAACAGCATAGTTTGTGTTTGTGTTCCCGAGGAAATCCTAGAGCTTTGGCTTCTTTACTAAGTTCTTCACCATCCACTAGAGGTAGAAAAAAAAAAGGAGAATGAATTTAAGATAAAATTTGTTTGTTTTCTAGAATTTCATACAAAGCTACTCAAGGGTTATCTGTTCTAGCCAACCCTAATTTTAAACTGGTAGATTAAAGGGAAGGTACACTGCAAATACGTAGGCTACTCTAATCATACAGTGGGATTTGATCATCAATTTTATAATACACCAATGGATCCAAAGTGTGCAGTGTAATTTGTTTTTGGTGGTAACAGGGTGCGAAGCACAGAACCTCGGATCCAAAGTGTGACACGTTAACCACTGTGCCTCACTCAGCATGATCCAAATTAGTACAAGTTTAAATATTTACTTACCTATTCATACTTGCATAACCAAAACAATTTAACTATTAACAATTTAATAATGCAATATTTTCATTATTATACTGAGCAGGTATAAAGGAGAAATAAAAATGTGATGCATCTTTAAAATAACCACCTGTAGACTGAAATTAGTACTTACAGATAAGGAAGTTCACATCAGGGGGAAATGTTCTCAACAGATCCAGAATGTAGTGTCGCCCATCATTACCTAGAATACCCTACAGAAAACACTCATGATAAATCATTTTTTCATTAATAAAAGTATTGCTTATATAAATTGATTGCAACCTTAAATGATTCAAAACAAAGAATCAAAAAGTTGTTTTTTTAGTTTTGTATCAATCTCGATAAAATAGTGCTTGTCCAAAACTTGCAGCTGTGTATACTTTAAGATGTAAGGGGACAGTGTAAACTGTTTCAAGTTGCTAACCACTATACGGTATAGTGGTGTTTGCTTTAAGATGTAAGGGTGGCAACTTGAAACAGTTTCCACTGTCGTATAGTGGTGTTTGCTTTAAGATGTAAGGGTAGCAACTTGGAACAGTTTCCACTGTCGTATAGTGGTGTTTGCTTTAAGATGTAAGGGTAGCAACTTGGAACAGTTTCCACTGTCGTATAGTGGTGTTTGCTTTAAGATGTAAGGGTAGCAACTTGGAACAGTTTCCACTGTCGTATAGTGGTGTTTGCTTTAAGATGTAAGGGTAGCAACTTGAAACAGTTTCCACTGTCGTATAGTGGTGTTTGCTTTA